GGAACATGTCCTCACAAGCCACAACAAGCCCACCATCTAAGTATGACTAGATTCAATAAGTTCTTTGTACTTCTTAGAGAAAGTATATTGGGTTCCATAGATCCATGTCACACTGAAGTGGGATTCCTGTTTTTTCATGGAGATTTTTTTTTTCTTCAAATCACACTGATCTAGGTGGATGCAGCATTGCTCCAATGCTGCATCTGTCCCCTGCTGGCTCTAAGGGTGAGAACTGAGCAATCAAACACTGATGATCGCTCAGTTTTCCAAGCCGTTCCGAGCAGAGAGCGGTGACTGTCACCACTGTTTTCTCTGCCCCCCAGCACTCACTGGAGTGCTGGGCTGTGAAGAGGGTGGGATCAGCTGGCTCAGGTTCTCAGCGGCTCGCTGAAAGGCTGAGCCAGGAGCAACTCCAGACATAAGGGTGGATCCTGACTTTAAAGTCAATATCTCTCCCCAGCCTTGAGAGGTTGAGTGATATCAGCCGTCAGTGGACTTTAGACCGCTGTTGGCTGAAAACTGGTCACAGGAGTGCAGAACAAACTGGCCATTCTTCTGTAGGTCACAGGAGTGCAAACAACTTTTTAAGGTTCTCCATGGGTATGATATTGTTTACTGTTCTAATACATTAACTCACTGTGAGTTGAGATGAGAATTTTCATTGTGCTGGTATACAGGCCTTTAGGAGGTATCACCAAAGAATTACAGTATTTACGCCTAGAGAGAGAGCTGAGGTATAAGAGGCAGGAAACCAGGTCTGATTCAAGGGAGAGACCTGTAAGATTTTGAATCCATGCACAGACACCTCGTCAAAAGGGGTGGATCTACAGACATGACCAGAAGATGTGCAGGAATGTTCTGCATCTCCAGCAATCAGGACTTACATTGGGAAATATGCACGTAACCAGTCAGGGACCATATAACACATGGAGAGTAGTTTATAGCCTGATTCTTGTACTCTCAAGGAGATGGAAGATTTGTGTGTGAAGAAGAATATAGACTCCTTTTGGTTGGGGATTAGGTCTTTGGCTAAATCTTTCTCCTATGGAATGGTGGGATGTAGTCTTTCTGTGGAGTGATCAGTGCAGAGTAAACAATGGAAAAGCCATGCATGAGGGGAGAGTGGAAGTACAGCTGTGTTCAAAGGAAGTGAAGATCAAAGGGAGGCTTGCTGAAGTGCTAAAGAAAGGATATAATGTCAAAATTGAAATGCCTGCCAAATCGGCAAACGCGGAGAGAGCACTGACTGGATGGTTGGTATGGATATCCAGCTGTCATTGACCCTGAAGTTTACAGTCTGAACTGGTTCATCAGTAGGAACCTGCAAAATCTGGGGTCGAGAAATCTGTGTTTTCAACCACTGGTGACATGGAGGAGTCTGGCATAGAGTTAATAAATATGGGGTGGGTCTTATGGAGGAGTTTCTTTGACAAGTCCTTTATTAAAAGAAAAAACTAAAAGAATGTCCCCCGCAGTAGATCCAACGTCAATCACGTTGTCCACCACCGCCACTACCCGAAAAAAAAAAAAAAAAAAAAGGCTCTGCTCCTGATGATGGCTCCCGGCCTTCTGTTTCTCCACTGGCTTGACAGTTCTTAAATATGTAAGGGGCGGGGCCACCCGGGGACATCATGCATGTGACCTCACCCCATGTGTCATCAATGATGTCACATGTGGCGGGGTCACTCGGGTGATGTCCCCAGGTGGCCCCACCCCTTACCTATTTAAGAACTGTCAAGCCAGAGGAGAGGCAAATTGCCGGGAGCCATCTTCGGGAGAGGAGCCTTTTTTTTAAATTCTTTTTTCAGGTAGCAGCAGACATCATGATTGACATTGGATCTACTGCGGGGGACATTCTTTGTTTTTTCTTTTAATAAAGGGCTTATCAAAGACCGTGTCCTGTCTTGCTGAGGGCATGTGACCTGGTGTGGTTCAGGAGGGGCTCACTCATCCCCCCCCTTTCCTGGCCTGCCGTGCTGCATGCTCGGATAAAGGTCTGGTATGGATTTTGGGGGGGACCCCCACGCCATTTTTTTAAATTAATTTTGGCGTAAATTTACCCTCAAAACCCGAACCAGACCCAAAGGGCTTGGTATGGATGGGAGGGGGGACCCCACGTGTTTTTTTTTTTTTAAATATTTTTTTTTAATTGCCAGCAATTCGTTCTTTTACATTCAGCGGTCAGTCGGGAACACCACTGGCAGCTGCAACATGAACACATGGTTTTCACTACTAAAAGGATGCGGCTGTGGCTTGATAAAATAACTCATGCGGTATTTTAGTAGTGTTTTTTAGGGAATGCAAAAGTTTTTTGTAAAAAATGCTGTGTGGGATCCTAAGATATCGCGTAGTGAATTGTGTGACAAAGGGACCTCCTCCCCCTCACTCACACTCTCTTACTCTTTTTCTTTGAAATCTCAGCTCTTGGCTTGACAAACCCTTGCCAAAAGGGGCAGATTGTAAACCAGCAATATCAAATAAATCATTAGTCCAGGCCCTTATCTTGCTTCTTATCCTTTTATAATAATTTTCTGTTACTGTTTTACATGACTTTTATTCATATTTCTGTATATTTTGCTTGAAATGTTGTGAATTTGATATCATATTTAGAAGATCTAGAGAATATATATTATTGTGCTGTACATATGTCCTCGTTTTGAATTTATTACAACCTCTTGAATTTGCAAAGGGGTGGAGCCTGAACATGGCGGTTAGGGAGAGCACGATGTAAGTGCTCTCCGACAGACTCCGCTTCCAGCCACCCCAGTTGCCCTCCTAGTACCAGAGACTGGGAACCTGCCTGTGTGAGGAGATCCCGGTGGAGGAATGCCAGCTCTGTGACTGTGAGCAGGGAACGAGAGAGCGAGACGGGAGGCCCGGGCTTCCTGAGACGCGCAGGCGGGGACTCGGGACGGAGCATCGGGTTGCTGAGGAGACAGAGTGACGCGGTGGGGCCACATGGTCAGCAGCAAAGGAGCTCTGGGAGGAGGGGAAGCCGGCCGGCGTCCCAAGGGACAGAGGGAGACGACAGTCGGTTCCCCGGAGCGATCTTTCGGCCTGAGCTCTGGTCTGTTTTTGCTGCTGGAGCATATGGATGTCCAGGCAAAATAAACCTTGGAGGAATCCCCCCAAGAACTTGAAGGGACGAGGAATAACTGAAACTGCAGCCTGGGACCATCTCACAAGAAAGTCAAGCGAAAGGAGGGTGAGTGAAAATGGCCTAGGCTAGCATTATAGTGAATTAGACTGTGTTATATATACTACATACTGTGTAAAGGAAAAGAGGGGGATTCCCAGGGGACATGAAGGCGTGGAAGAGGAAAAGGAATTAATTTACCTTAAAATTGGAAACGAAAGGGTAAAAGGACAAATAGTAAATCAAGTCTGGGAGAAGCCAGAACATATACATGAGTATATAGAAGAGAATAAGACCTATAGAGAATATGAAGAATAAAGGAGCTAAAGGAAGTGGGGTCCCAAACTGGTACGATCAAAAAATACACATCGCAGGGAAATGTTACCCCAGAAAGGTCCCAAAGCAGCAGTGAAAAGGGTGAAATGGAAACTAGTCTGGGAAATAGCCCTAGGTTATCATTGGGCATGAATAGTAGTTGTAGTCAACAAATAACAGGTATTATGGAGAAGAGAGAATCTGAAAGTGAACTACATGTACCGAATAAAAAAGAGATGACAGAAATGTTTAAAAGCTTGGAGGAAACAAAGCAAGAAATAGCAACTATTCGAACGATTTTGGGCAGCTGTTATTAAGAGTGGAGGAAATGGAGGAGAAAGTTAAAAATCCGGCCAAAACCATAGCCGATTTAGAAAAGAAGATAACAAATATGGGGAAAGTTCAGAAAAAATTGCTTTATAGGATAGAGGTACAAGAAAATAGTGACAGGAGGAGTAATCTTTGGATACGAGGAATTCCAGAGACTGTAAAAGGGGAAACATTGCAAGAATTAGTATGTAGAATTTTTAACTCCATAATGGATAGACCTGAACTAGACTTGATTAAACTGGACGGAGTTTTCAGAACAGGAAAGCTCCAACAGGGTACTGGGAAGGAAAGACCGAGAGATACAGTTGCCCAGTTTCAAAGGTATGGTGATAAAGATGAGTTTTGGAGGAAGATCAAAGGAAGAACAATAATTAAGTATGGAGAAATAGATATCCAGATTTTTGCAGATTTAACACGAGAGACCTTGTGGAGAAGGAGATCCCTGAAACCCCTGTTGGAGCAAATGAGAAAGCAGAATGTGCATTACAGATGGGGGACCCCAGCGTGCCTAATTGGATGATGCCCAGAAAGATGCTGGGAGGCTCGGGTGAGGGGGACCGAGCCTCCCCAGCCATCCCCCCTGCACACTCTGCAGACCCCAAAAAGGTCAGGACTGTAGCCCTCTGCAATACCCCAGGCTTCGGAGTCTCCACAGCTCTGCATGAGCCTTCTCCTCAAAGGTCAGACCCCACAGCTGAGACCCTGCCAGTCTGTAAGCCTGTCTACTGGGCACCCTTGCACCCTGTCTGCTGCTGAGTGCCCTGGGAGCTGCTGCTAAGGGACCCTGCACACTATCCGTGGCTGCGTGTCCCTGGAGGCTGTCTGCTGCTGAGTGCCCTGGGAGCTGCTGCTGTCTGCTGATCGCTGGTTGTCCCTGGAACGCTGACCGCTGGTCGTCCCTGTCTGGAGCTGCCTGCCGCTGAGGGTCTGCAAGCTGCTTACCGTGAGTGTCCTGAACTGTCCCCACTGTGTGCACCGACCACCCGTGTTCTGAACTGTCCCCGCTGTGTGCACCGACCACCTGTGTTCTGAACTGTCCCCGCTGTGTGCACCGACCGACCACCCGTGTCCTGAACTGTCCCTGTTGTGTGCACTGACCACCTGTGTCCTGAACTGTCCCCACTGTGTGCACCGACCAACTGTGGTCTGAACTGTCCCTGCTATGTGCACCGACCACCCGTGTCCTGAACTGTCCCTGTTGTGCGCACTGACCACCTGTGTCTTGAACTGTGCCTGCTGTGTGCACCGACCACCCGTGTTCTGAACTATCCCCGCTGTGTGCACCGACCACCTGTGTTTTGAACTGTCCCCACTGTGTGCACCGACCACCCGTGTCCTGAACTGTCCCTGTTGTGCGCACTGACCACCTGTGTCCTGAACTGTGCCTGCTGTGTGCACTGACCACCCGTGTTCTGAACTGTCCCCGGTGTGCACCGACCACTCGTGTTCTGAACTGTCCCCGGTGTGCACCGACCACTCGTGTTCTGAACTGTCCCCGGTGTGTGCACCGACCACTCGTGTTCTGAACTGTCCCCGCTGTGTGCACCGACCACCCGTGTTCCCAACTGCCCCACTGTGTGCACTGACCACGCGTGTCCTGATGGCATGCCCGGAGTATAGGTACCTGTGGTGCCCCTGAGTGCTTGAGCCATCGCTACCCGTTGAGTCCCCATGAACCCAATGTCCCTAGAAAGCTGGGTGGGATCTGTGCTGAGGCCAGACTCCACAGCTAGAGTCCCGTTGAGTCCCCGAGACCCCTGCCCAGGGGTAGATTGCCGCCTGTTGCCTGAGGCTCCTGCCCAGTGGTAGGTTGCCGCCTGTTGCCCGAGGTCCCTGCCCAGTGGTAGGTTGCCGCATGTTGCCCGAGACCCCTGCCCAGTGGTAGGTTGCCACCTGTTGCCTGAGACCCCTGCCTAGGGGTAGATTGCCGCCTGTTGCCAGAGGCCCCTGCCCAGTGGTAGGTTGCCGCCTGTTGCCAGAGGCCCCTGCCCAGGGGTAGGTTGCCGCCTGTTGCCCGAGGCCCCTGCCCAGTGGTAGGTTGCTGCCTGTTGCCCGAGGCCCCTGCCCAGGGGTAGGTTGCCGCCTGTTGCCCGAGGCCCCTGCCCAGGGGTAGGTTGCCGCCTGTTGCCTGAGGCCCCTGCCCAGGGGTAGGTTGCTGCCTGTTGCCTGAGGCCCCTGCCCAGGGGTAGGTTGCTGCCTGTTGCCTGAGGCCCCTGCCCAGGGGTAGATTGCCGCCTGCTGCCCGAGGCCCCTGCCCAGTGGTAGGTTGCCACCTGTTGCCCAAGACCCCTGCCCAGGGGTAGATTGCCGCCTGTTGCATGAGGTCCCTGCCTAGTGGTAGATTGCCGCCTGTTGCCCGAGTCTCCAATCCGCTGTCCAGTCATGGAGGGAGCTCGGCTGAGGCCCCAAGCCTAGGGGAGAGATTGCCTGCCTGTCGCTGAAGACCCCCCGTGCCTGGAATCGTCCCTGGTTTGCGCACACATCACCCTCCCTGCCATTTCCCCATTGAGTGTCTGTCATTTTGTTGCTTCAATAAAGTTTTGTGTGTTCCCCATCTTCTCCGCGTGCTTTGTCCTGCCTACGCTTCCGTTACAATAAGGTTGGAGATGGAGGAGAGAGAAATAGATCTTGAGGGGAGATTTTTGTTTTTGAGAGGTAGATTGCAAGAGATGGAATGTACAATTGCGAATATTTATTGCCAAAATTGATGGCCTTTAAAAAGGCATGCTTGATAGTAGCAGGAGACTTGAATTTATGTATGGATCAACAAATGGATACGACCTCTTCTGTGCAGCGAGAGGGAGGTAGGTCTCTGAGAACTTTAAAGAAGGTGATGCATGAGTGCCAACTGGTGGCTATTTGGAGAATACTATACCTTCTTCTCTAATGCACACGAGATGTATTCGAGATTGGGCTATATATTGGTTGATCATCAACTTATAGAGATGGTGGCTGAAGTAGAAATAGAGGTAATGTCTCTCTCAGACAATGCCCCTGTTATATTGAAATTAGGGTGGGGGAGGCGGTCGACAGGTGGTATGGGATGGAAGTTGAATGAGGCTCTTCTCCTAGATCAGGAGATTGATCAGAAGATTAGAGAAGAAATTGAAAGATTTTTTCAGGAGAATGAGACGGGAAGTGTCGGTGGCTACAGTATGGGAGGCCCATAAGGCCTATATAAGAGGTATATTGATCATGTCTGGGGCAAAAAAGAAAAGGGAAAGAAGAGAGAAACTTACTGGGCTGTTAAAAAATATTTGACCTGGAGCAGATACATAAAAATAGAATAACAAAAGAGATAAGACAGAAGGAAATAAAAAAGAACTAGAGATAGTGATGGAGGAGGAAAAGAGAAGAGTTTTTAATAGAGTGGCAAGCGAGAGGTATAGATGGGGAGATAGACCAGGAAAATATTTAATGAGAGCTTTGAGGAAAAAGAAAAATAGGAATTATATAGAAAAAATGAAAAACCCCAAGGGAGAAACAGTTTATTCTACTAAAGAGATCGTCAAGGTAAGGAAGGTTTAAGGAATATTATAGTAAACTGTATAATATTACTTCCCAGGATTTAGTAAATAAAAGTGGAAATGTGAGCAGAGAAAAAAGAAGGGTATATCTAAAAAACGCAGGACAATTGAAGCTAAGTAAAGATCAACTGAATTCCCTTGATTTAGAAATTATGCAGGAGGAAATAAAAATAGCATTAAAAGGTACCATGACGGGGAAAAGCCCAGGCCCAGATGGTTATACTGTGAGGTACTATAAAAAATATAGTGAATTATAAATACCTAAATTGAAGAAATATATGAACGCCCTGGGTGGGGAGATGGAGATGAGGCAGGAATCTTTACAGGCCCATGTGGTACTTATTCAAAAGGAAGGGAAAGATGCTTCTCAATGTTCTAGCTATAGACCAATTTCACTTTTGAACATAGACACTAAGCTATATGCAAAGGTTCTAGCAAATAGGTTGAAAGATTTAATGCCAGAATGGATCCAGGGGGACCAGGTGGGATTTGTACCAGGGAGGGAGGGTAGAGACAATGGGTTGAGAACTTTGTTGCTTATCCAGAAAGCTAGGAAGGGGAAAATTCCGGTGGTGGTGCTTTCGATCGATGCTGAGAAGGCATTCGATAGAGTAGATTGGAGCTTTATGAGGGACACTCTGGAGACTCTGGGATTGGGAGTTAGAATGAGAGAGTGGATAGGTAAATTGTACAGAGAGCCCTCCGCGGTTATTTTGGTTAACGGAGAGAGGTCGGAACCTATTGGAATGTCAAATGGAACAAGACAGGGTTGCCCACTGTCCCCACTGTTGTATGTATTATCATTGGAACCTTTACTGGCAACAATTAGGAAAAATATGGACATAAAAGGAATACAGATAGGAGGAATTGAACATAAAGTGGCAGCCTTTGCGGATGACCTGTTGTTCTATGTGGGAAATCCTAGGATAACACTCCCAAATTTAATGAAGAGCTTAAAGGATTATGGAGAGCTTTCAAATTGAAAATCAACCCAACAAAAACTGAGATCTTAAATGTAAATCTTCCAAATAGTGAAAAAGAAAAGATACAAAAAGAATCCCTTTTATATGGAAAGATAGAGAGATAGAGAGATAAAATATCTAGGGGTTAAACTTACTGCTTCATATACAAACTTGTATAAATCAAATTATATCTCACTTTTAAATGAGATTAAGGAGGAATTAAAGAAATTGGGAGGAGGTAACCCATCTTGGATAGGGCGCATAAATCTGATAAAAATGGTAATTGTACCTAAAATCTTATATAAATTCCAGATGATCCCAATTAAACTTCCGGAGGTTTTTTTCAAGGTAATTAAAAAGATGTTAACAAGATATATATGGAAAAATAAAAAACCTAGAATATCTTATGATTTGTTGAGTAGAAATAAAGAGAAGGGAGGATTGGGAGTGCCAGATTTTAAGAGGTATTATAGAGCAGCAGTTCTAGCAAGAATTTATGAATGGACACACAATCCAGAGGGGGGAAAAGGTGGGTCAAGATTTAAGGTGAATTAAGCGGAGTTAACTTGAGGAAAATCATATGGGTACCAGCACAATATAGAGGATTAAAAGATACCATGAGTGTTTATACATTAAATGTTTTAAAGGTTTGGGATAAACTGCACAAGATTACGAAATGGGATTTTAATTCACAATTCATGTCACTAAGGAACACGGAGTATTTCCCTCCAGGTAGGGAGGAGCGCACAGGAAAATGATTTAAAAAGGAGGATATTCAACTGAGGGATATTATGGAAGGGCAAGAATTGAGAACACTTAAGGATTTGAAAGGACAAAAGGGAACTTTTCATCAAGATAGATGAGTGGAGATATCACCAATTAAAGCACTTTGTCGGGAATCTTCCGAAACCTTTGAGATCGAGAAATGATTGGAATCTGTTTGAGAGGTTGTTGGAATCACGTGGAGATGGGAAACGGGGACGGCAAAAGTTTATAAGATTCTCACTGAGTTAGACACACACACAAAACCAATGTATATAGTAAAATGGGAGAGGGATTTGGGAATAGAGATAGATGAAGACAAACAAAGGAAAATATATAGACTAATACACGAGAATATAAGCATGAGAGAGGTGGAGGTAAACTATAAGTGTTCAACATTTGGTGCAATGTGCCATCTTGTTAAATACAAGATGAGTGGGGAGAACACACCAGAGTGTTGGCGGGGATGTGGAAAGATAGGCACGTTATATCACATATGGTGGGAGTGCCCAAAGATTCAAGGTTTTTGGGAGACAATGGTTCATTTAATTGGGATAATCTCTGGGATAAAGATAGGATTGGATCCAGAGTTGTGTCTATTACATAGTACAGAGCTATCAGTGAACAAATACAAGGATTCGGGTATATGGTACTATCTGAATGCGGCAAAGGGTCTGATACCTAGGTTTTGGCATAGTTTAGAGGTGCCAAGAGAGGAGGATTGGGTGGAAAGAGTGAACCAGATATGTAGAATGGAGAAATTGTATTACATGCTAGAAGACAAGATGGGGTTATATTACAGGAGGTGGGGAAAATGGGAAGATTTTGTGTTCAAGGGGAAATATATGAAGTAGTAGAGTGGGATATGTGAAAGTACACCTTACTTAGGAAAAGATGTAATGGAGAAATGCAGAGTGGGGGGGTTTACTTGTGGGGGGGTTCGTTTTCAGAGTGGGTGGGGGTATTAGATAGGTGGGGGGAGTTATGGGAATAAAGATAGAAATAGGGATACAATTAATGGTTTGGATACAACTGATGGTTTTGTATGTTATATGAGAGTAATGATGTAATATCTATTTATATGGAAAATGAATAAATATTTAAATTAAAAAAAATATATATATGTCCTCGTTTACCTACCCGATTGGAACTGTTGAAATTTGGCGACAAAGATAAATCTCCAAAATGATAATCTCATAACTTGTATTTACCATTATTAATCATTTGTAAGCAGTGTTTCGGTGTTTCCAATACATTCATTTTCTTTGCAAAACATTTATTGAATGCTAGTACATTTTTGGAAGCATATATTCTCGCCAGTATACAGTGGGGCAAAAAAGTATTTAGTCAGCCACCAATTGTGCAAGTTCTCCCACTTAAAAAGATGAGAGGCCTGTAATTGGCATGATAGGTAGACCTCAACTATGAGAGACAAAATGAGAAAAAAAATCCAGACAATCACATTGGCTAATTTGGAAAGAATTTATTTGCAAATTATGGTGGAAAATAAGTATTTGGTCACCTACAAACAAGCAAGATTTCTGGCTCTCACAGACCTGTACCTTCTTCTTTAAGAGGCTCCTCTGTCCTGCACTCATTACCTGTATCAATGGCACCTGTTTGAACTTGTTATCAGTATAAAAGACACCTGTCCACAACCTCAAACAGTCACACTCCAAACTCCACTATGGTGAAGGCCAAAGAGCTGTCGCAGGACACCAGAAACAAAATTGTAGACCTGCACCAGGCTGGGAAGACTGAATCTGCAATAGGCAAGCAGCTTGGTGTGAACAAATCAACTATGGGAGCAATAATTAGAAAATGGAAGACATACAAGACCACTGATAATCTCCCTCGATCTGGGGCTCCACGCAAGATCTCACCCCGTGGGGTCAAAATGATCACAAGAACGGTGAGCAAAAATTGCAGGAACACATAGGGGGGGGACCTAGTGAATGACCTGCAGAGAGCTGGGACCGACGTAACAAAGGCTACCATCAGTAACACACTACGCCGCCAGGGACTCAGATCCTGCAGTGCCAGACGTGTCCCCCTGCTTAAGCCAGTACA